TATGAGGTGGGGGCCCGCGGAGACGCGAGGCACTGGTGGGACTCGCCCCGCCGCGACGGGTTCGAGTCTCCCCGGCTCCCCGCCTGTATTCCCCCAGACTTCCGCCTCGGCTTCCCCTTCGCTGTCAGGGGGGGGGGGGGCCTCCGAGCGGCAGCGCTTCCCGGAAAGTTGTGGGGCTTCGAACCTAAAGTCGGGGGATCTAGGCTGAAGCGTGGCCGCGCTCCGCCTCCCCTGACGCCGCATTTACAGCGCCGCGCGGCCCCGACCGCGCCCGCACCAGACAGTTTGACGCGGCGGCCGCGCTCAGACCCGGATGTGAGGACCGGAGAGGTAGAGCGGCTGAGAGGAGAGAGCAGAAAGCACCCACGGGCTGGCTGGCCTCTCCCGGCTGAGAGGGAGGGGGCCGCAGCGCCCTCCCCTGGTGGCGGCGCCCGGGGGTCGGGATAACAAGCCGCCCTCTGCGCGGAGACCTCAGCAAGACCCCGGAAAGGGGGTGCAGCGGAAGAACAGCCAGCAGCTCATTAAGGCCGAGAGTAACTTAAGATACGGGTTGCAGTTTTTACCGGCCTCACAGGCGCCAGGTGCGCCCAAGCAACAGGGCCCAGAGGTCGCGAGGAGGGAGCCCGGCTGCGCTCGGCGCGCCACCGCCTGCGAGGCCCGGCGCAGTCCCGGGCTCCGCGCAGCGCGCGCCTGTGGCTGCGGCTCCGGCCCTGGCCGCGGCCGCCGGGAGGGTGCAGAAAAAGAGGCGGGGGCCGCGGAGACGCGAGGCACTGGTGGACTCCGCCCCCGCCGCGGGTTCGAGTCTCCCCGGCTCCCCGCCGATTCCCCCAGACTTCCCGCCTCGGCTTCCCCTTCCGTCCACGCCTCCGGAGCGGCAGCGCTTCCCGGAAAGTTGTGGGGCTTCGAACCTAAAGTTTCGGGGGATCTAGGCTGAGCGTGGCCGCCGCTCCGCCTCCCTCCGCCGCCATTTACAGCGCCCGGCCCGGCCCCGACGCGCCCGCACCAACAGTGACAGCGGCGGCCGCGCTCCAGACCCGGATGTGAGGCCGGGAGGAGAGAGCGCGAGAGGGAGAGAGAAACACCCACCGGGCTGGCTTGGCCGCTCCCGGGAGAGGGAGGGGGCCGCAGCGCCCCCTGGTGGCCGGCGCCCGGCGGCGGGATAACCAAGCCGCCCTCTGCGCGGAGACCTCAGCAAGACCCCCGGAAAGGGGGGTGCAGCGGAAAACAGCCAGCAGCTCATTAAGGCCGAGATAACTAAGATACGGGTTGCAGTTTTTATGTTTCGCAGCTTCTGGTCCTAAGCGTCTAAATAATTGGATTGAAAGGGGAGCTTTGTTCAGGTTATTATCATTCTATCTGTACCTTTTTGGTACAAATGAAGATAAATGCAGTATTTCCATCTGTTCTGAAGGGCTATGAACATCCAGGCTATCCGGGAAGCCTCCACGTAGACACCAACATTGAGGCTTCGTCTCATTCGTGCTTTAAGCCATGTTTACCTGAGAAACGAAATATGCTGAATAGAGGGGAAAACTGGCAAAGTTGTCCTCTTTGTTCACAAGGTCATTCCGGTCACTGGGAACTTAATACTCTACATTTATACCCTCAACTCTATCAATGTAAAACTACTCACTAGTTCACATTTTTAAAAATTGCCCTAAGAATTTTGCTTCCTTTAACAAAACAGTGTATCATTAAAAAGATTGAAAGTTTTATTTCAACTCCTTCTCACCTCAAAGACAAACCAAAATAGAACACAGAAGGCTTTTCCTTAATTTTATTT